TATGCTTGTCTTGTTCTTGTCCTAGAGGAAAAGCATCTAGTCTTTGACCATTTAGTATCATTTAACAATATTGGTTCTTCCAGTCCATGAACATGGAATATCTTTCCATTTGTTTGTGTCATCTTCAGTTTCTTTCAGTGTTTTTATAGCTTTCAGAGTTCAGGTGTTAAACCTCCTTGGTTAATTTTAGTCCTAGGACTTTATTATTATTGGTTCAGTTGTAAATAGGATTATTTTCTTAATATCTCTTTCTGTTACTTCATTATTAGCATATAGAAATGCAACAGATTTCTGTATGTTAATTTTGTGTCCTACTTTACTGAATTCATTTGTCAGTTCTGGTAGTTTTTTGGTGGAATCGTTAGGATTTTCTATATATAGTATTATGTCATCTACAAATAGTGAAAGTTTTACTTTTTCCTTATCAACTGGATGCCTTTTATTTCTTTTCCTTGTCTTATTGCTGTGGCTAGGACTTCCAGTACTATGCTGAATTAAACTGGTGAGAGTGATATCCTTACCTTGTTCCTGAGGGGAAAAGCTCTCAGTTTTTCACCATTGAGTATGATGTTAGCTGTGAGATTTTCATATACGGCTTTTATTATGTTGAGGTATGTTCTCTCTAAACCTACTGTTGAGAGTTTTATCATGAATGGATGTTGTACTTTATCAAATGCTTTTTGTGCATTTATTGAGACGATCTTACTGGTTTTATTCTTTCTCTTATTAATGTGATGCTACAAACAATGAATGGGAAATCGAAGAAATCAGAGAATACAGGGAGACAAATGAAAATGAAAACACAGTGGTTCAGAATCTTTGAGATACAGCGAAAACAGTTCTCAGAGGGAAGATTATAGCAATACACGCCTACTTCAGGAAGCAAATAAAATCTCAAAGAACCTAACCTTATACCTAAAGGATCTAGAAAAAGAACAAAGTCCAGAGCCAGTGGAATGAAGGAAATAATAACAATTAGAGTAGACGTAAATGAAATAGAGACTAAAAAAAAAACAATAGACCTGATCAATGAAACCAGGAGCTAGTTCTTTGAAAAGGTTAACAAAATTGATAAACCTTTAGTAAGACTTATCAAAAAAAAGAAGAGAGGATTCAAATAAATAAAATCAGAAATGAAGGAGGAGAAATAACAACCAATACCACAGAAATACAAAGGATTATAAGAATATTATTAAAAACTATATGCCAAAAATTGGACAACCAAGAAGAAATGGATAAATTCCTTAGAAACATATCACCTTCCAAAACTGAATTAGGAAAACACAGAAAATTTGAACAGACCAATCACTAACAATGAAATTGAATCAGTAATAAACTCCCAACAAACAAAAGTCCAGGACCTGGTGGCTTCACAGGTAAATTCTACCAAGCATTTAAAAAAGAGTTAATACCTATTCTCGAACTATTCCAAAAAACAGAAGAGGAAGGAAACTTCCAGATTCCTTCTATGATGCCAGCATTACCCTATTACTAAAATCGTTTAAAGACATTACAAAAAAAGGGGCACCTAGGTGGCTCAGTCGTTGGGCGTCTGCCTTTGGCTCAGGTCGTGATCCTAGAGTCCTGGGATTGAGCCCCACATCGGGCTCCCTGCTCGGCGGGAGGCTTGTTGCTCCCTCTCCTGCTCTCCCTGCTTGTGTTCCCTCTTTCCTGTGTCTTTCCCTGTCAAATAAATAAATAAAATCTTAAAAAAAAAAAAAAAAGACATTACAGAAAAAAAGAATACTGTAGGCCAGTATGTCTTATGAACACAGATGCAAAAATCTTCAACAAAATATTAACAAACTCAATCTAATAATACATTTAAAAAAATAATTCACCATGATCAAGTGGGATTTATTCCTGGGATGCAAATAAATTTATTTGCAAATAAATCAACGTGATACATCACATTAACATGCAAAAGGATAAAACCATATGATTATCTCAGTAGATACAGAAGAATCATTGTAGTTTTCTTTAAAATTATTTTTATTTTTATTTTACATTTAAATTCAATTAACATATGATGTATTACTGATTTCAGAGGTAGAGGTCAGTGATTCATCAGTCTTATATAATACCCAGTGCCCATTACATCCTGTAGCCTCCTTAATGTCCATCACCCAGTTACCCCATCCCTCCATCCCTACCCCTCTCCAGCAACCCTCAGTTTGTTTCCTATGATTAAGAGTCCCTTACAGTTTGTCTGCATCTCTGGTTTCATCTTGTTTTTTTTTTTCCTCTCTTCCCCTATGATGCTCTGTTTTGTTTCTTAAATTCCACATATGAGTGAGATCATATGATAATTGTCTTTCTGTTACTGACTTCTTTCGCTTAGCATAATACCCTCTAGTTTTATCCATGTCGTTGCAAATGGCAAGATTTCATTTTTTTGATGGTTGAGTAATATTCCGGTGTGTGTGTGTGTGTGTATGTATGTGTATGTGTGTATGTATGTGTATGTATATATATATATACCACATCTTCTTTATCCATTCATTTGTCGATGGACATCTGGGCTCTTTCCATAGTTTGGCTATTGTGGACATTGCTGCTAAACATTGCGGTGCAGATGCCCCTTCAGATCAATACATTTGTTTCTTTGGGGTAAATCCCTAGTAATGCAATTGCTGGGTTGTAGGGTAGCTCTCTTTTCAACTTTTTGAAGAACCTCCATACTGTTTTCCAGAGTGACTGCACCAGCTTGCATTCCCACCGGCAGTGTAGGAGGGTTCCCCTTTCTCTGCATCCTCGCCAACATCTGTCATTTCCTGAGTGGTTAATTTTAGCCATTCTGACTGGTGTGAAGTAGTATCTCATTGTGGTTTTGATTTGTATTTCCCTGATGCTGATTGATGTTGAGCACTTTTTCATGTGTCTATTGGCCATTTGTATATCTTCTTTGGAAAAATGTCTGTTCATGTCTTCTGCCCATTTATTGACTGGATTATTTGTTCTTTAGGTGTTGAGTTTGAGAAGTTCTTTTTTTTGGGTAAAGATTTTATTTATTTATTTGACAGAGGGAGACATGGCGAGAGAAGGAACACAAGCAGGGGGAGTGGGAGAGGGAGAGGCAGGCTTCCCGCGGAGCAGGGAGCCCAATGCGGGGCTTGATCCCAGGGTCCTGGGATCATGACCTGAGCCGAAGGCAGATGCTTAATGACTGAGCCACCCCCGGTGCCCCATGATAAGTTCTTTATAGATTTTGGATACTAGCCCTTTATCTGATATGTCATTTGCAAATATCTTCTATTCTGTCAGTTGTCTTTTGGTTTTGTCGGCTGTTTCCTTTGTTGTACAAAAGCAGTCATAGTTTTAATTTTCATTTCCTTAATGTTAACCGTGTTGAACAGGTTATTATGCCCCTATGTCCATCTCTATTTTAGTCAGTGAAATGTTGGTTATTTGCCCATTTTTCTAATTGGGTTGTCTTTATTTTTTTTTAAGCTGTTAAGGTTTGGGACATCTGTATGTATGTTAGATACAAGTCTTTTATTGGATATGAGGTTTACAAAATTTTCTCCCGGCCTATAGCTGGGAGAGACGGGGGGCCCATCACTGCTGCTGAATGAGAAAAATCCACTTTCCCTATGTGGTCTCCACTGATACCACAGCAAGGGGTAGCTCCTTACCAACCATCAAGGGCAAAAATAAGTCCTGGGCCCCTGCTTGGCCATCTCTAATACCGTGGCTTGGATGTTGGGGTGTCTTGTAATCATTTAGCAAGGGTAGAGGTTTAGGCTCCTCATTTAGCCTTTGCTGATATGAGAAAAGCAGTTTTTTTTTTCCTGTGGTGTTTGGCTGGAATAGAGCAGTTATGGTCTAAAAGTTTTCTGTCTTGCTAGACTTCACTTTTACTGTTTTGTTTTGTTTTTTTTAGCTAATGAGAGTGGGTTTTTATTAGAGCCTTTGTCTATGCCCTTTTTTCCTGTGTTGCTGGCTTCTTTAGCTCCCAGATCTGGAATATATGAGGTAAAATGAAAACCCAGGGATTTCACTACCATATCATTCCTCAGGTCCCAAAATCCCTAGCCAGCCTGCCTTCTCTAGATCTTTCAGATAATTCTTATGTTTTATATATAATGTCTAGGACTTTTAGTTATACTTATCAGACAAATAGGAGAAAGTACAACTACTCTATTACATCAGAAGTGATAGCATAATTTTAGGTATTTTTATTTGAAATCGAATGTGGCTATTATCATCAAATAGGTAAAACAGAAATCTCAAAGAAGTTTTATATTTATGGTAGCTTTAGGTTCTGATCCATTACCCCAGGAAGAAGTACTCATTCTTTTTCCTATTCTTTGGAATATTCCTTTCTGTCATTCTTCATCACAATGATTGGTAAAATATTAGGGTATAGGCCAAGCTTCTATAACAGAGAGACCCCAAAATACAATGGCTCAAATATGGTAGAATTTTATTTTTCTTTTTTATTGTAGTCTAAGGCAGGAAAGGGAGCTCTGTTCCTTGAAGTTATCCAAAGACCCAAGCAGGCTTGGCAGCTAAGCCATTTTTACACATGGCTTCTGGTAGTAGGGGAACATAGAGGCCAAGAATTTGATTTTCTAAGGACAGGAAGCAGAACTTATACTTACTGCTTTTGCTCATAACCCATTGGCCTAAACCTAGTCATATGGTCACACCTAGGTACAAAGGAACCTGGAAAGGTCTCCAGCTTTGTGGCCATGTGACCAGCAAAGGTTAGGGTAAGGAACCTCTGTTACTAAAAGAAAAAGGGTGAGAATACTGGCAGACCAAAGTAGTCTTTATTTTTGTTAGTTTAGTGAAACATTTTTAGAAGAAATTAACTGTGTGGTCTTAGTTATCATGAGCCATTTTATCCTATAATTAACTGTCCTTTTTGTTATGTTCTTATCTGTTTTATTGTAAAAGATCAACAGGACCTTTGTGGTCAATTCTTAGCCTGGATTATAAAACTGGTTTTTATATAATTATTTGGACTACAGTAAGAACTTGTTTGTGTCTTCTAGGGTTTACGGAGTCCACGGGGAATAGGATACAAGCCAGAAGCTGTATGTAGTCACATTATTATTGAGAGCCATGAAAAAGGATGTTTCAGGACCCTAACTGCTGAACAACCACAATTGGATAGTCACCCTTGTGTTTTCAGATCTGCTGACCCCTCAGAAATGATCAGAGGACAACGGAGTCCATCATCATGGAGAACCAGACACATCGACCTTTCCAAATCTCTAGACCAGAGTAACCCCCATTTCAAAGTTTGGAATTCCTTACAGTTACGAAGTCATTCCCCATTTCAAAACTTTACAACTGATGACTTCAGAATTAGCCAGGGTCTTCGAATGCCATTCCATGAAAAGATAGACCCTTGGCTGTCAGAATTAGTAGAACCTGCTTGTGTGCCACCTGAAGAAATGGATTGTCATTCTTCATCACAAATGCTGCCCCCAGAATCCATGAAAAAGTTTACTACTTCCATCACTTTTTCATCTCACCGACATTCTAAATGCTTTTCAGATTCCTCTGTTCTTAAGGTTGGTGTTACTGAAGGTAGCCAGTGTACTGGAGCATCTGTGGGGGTATTTAATTCTCATTTCACTGAAGAGCAAAATCCTCCCAGAGATCTAGAACAGAGAACCTCTTCCCCTTCATCATTTAAAATTGTTAGTCATTCACCAGATAAAGCTGTGACTATTTTAGCAGAAAGTAGTAGGCAAAGCCAAAAATTATCTGTTGAACATTCTCAGCAAGAAGAAAAACTCTTAGAAAGATCAGATTTTAAAGGCAGTGATTCTGAGCCCAGTACCAGTGCAAAGTGTAGCAATGTCAAGGAAGTTCATTTTTCTGATAACCATACCTTCATTAGCATGAGCAGACCAAGTTCCACACTAGGAGTAAAAGAGAAGAATGTAACTATAACTCCAGATCTTGCTTCGCACATTATTCTTGAACAACGAGAGCTCTTTGAACCAAGCAAAGCCTCACATGCAGATCACCATGTGAGAAAATACCATTCTCCCCCTCCTCAACATCAGGATTATGTAGCTCCAAACCTTCCTTGTCACATTTTTCTTGAAAAACGAGAACTCTTTGAACAAAGCAAAGCCCCACATTTAGATCATCAGATGAGAGAAAACCACTCTCCCTTTCCTCAAGGTCAGGATTATATAGCTTCAGACCTTCCTTCTTCCATTTTTCTTGAACAACGTCAGCTCTTTGAACAAAGCAAAGCCCCAGATGTAGATCACATGGGAAAATACCATTCCCCTCTTCCTCCAGGTCAGGATTATGTAGTAGAAAAGAATAACCAACATAAGTTTAAATCATACATTTCCAATATGATAAATGTTGAAGCCAAGTTCGATAACGTGGTCTCCCACTCAGCCCCAAATCAGTGTACATTAGTAACATCTGCATCTACTCCACCCTCAAATAGAAAAGCACTTTCCTGTGTTCATATAACTCTTTATCCCAAGACTCCTTCCAAGGTGGATAGTGGAACCTTAGATAAAAGATTTCACTCACTGGATCCTGCTTCTAAAACAAGGATGAATAGTGAGTTTAACTCTGACCTACAGACTCTATCTTCAAGATCATTGGAACCAACCTCCAAATTATTGACCGGTAAACCTGTAGCACAGAATCAAGAATCTTTAGGTTTTCTAGGACCTAAATCTTCACCGGACTTCCAAGTTGTACAGTCTCCTCTTCCAGATAGTAATACTATTTCTCAGGACTTGAAAAACATACTTTTTCAGAATAGCCAGATAGTAACCTCAAGGCAAACACAAGTGAACATTTCAGATTTGGAAGGATATTCCAGTCCAGAAGGGACTCCGGTATCTGCAGATCGGTGAGTCTCAATGTGATGACAAGCAAGCTGATGGAATTTGTGATAAAAGGTTTTAAATACTTACGCAAATGTAAGGTCTTGGGGGAAAAGCAGTACGATTTCTCTTATGGGAGGTTGTATCTGACCAGTATTCCAGAAGTCTTTCAAGGCATAAATGCCTAAGTAAGAGAGAACATCTGAAAGTAATGTATTTATAATTTCAGAGGGCTTTTGACAAGACTTGGCACCGAGTATATCAAAACATTGAATTACTTTGGGAAGAGTCTTTGATCATCCCATGGTACAATTTACTAATTGTTTATTGTGTTGGAAATACACTGAAGACCAGGATTTGGGTTGTGTGCACGTGCTCACTCTCTTGCTTGTTTGCTCATGTTCTCTCTCTCTCCTTTCTCTCTTAGTTTCCATTTCATGATTCTCCTCAAATATTTAGTATTTACAATGAAAAAAAGGTAACTTTCCAGCAGAGAATCCTGACAGGTATCACTTTAGCCAAGTTATCAAGGCTAACCTCACTGGTAATGCATGTCAATATAATGTGCTCTCTAATGTGATGCCCCATTTTACAGTGTATTATAGGAAAGGAAACCCAGGTCAGGACTGTATGCATTAGTTTTATACTATTCAGCCTTATTTTAAGACTATCATTAATTCAGTTTTACATTTTGAATCCTTTAAAATACAGCTAAAACAGAATTACCGTGTGTGTTTCACGTTCCACCTTGTAGTTCAGAAAGCAGTATATGGTAGTGAAGAGCCCTGGGCTTGGAAAGAAGGAAGGGAAAAAAACGTTTATTCAGCATCCACATGTGGTAGTTATGGCAGTGAGGGACTTATATATGTTATCTCATTTAATGCTTATGATAACCCTATGACGTAGGTGGTGATATCCTTATTACCCTCTGGGAAGCTGAGACACTGATACTGCTACTTTGTCAGCAGACAGCATTGTCTCACATAATGCTCTTTTGTTTTTGGTTTTGTTTTTTTTTTAAGATTTATTTATTTATTTTATTGAGGGTGTGGGGGGCAGAGGGAGAGAGAATCTCAAGCAGGCTTCCTGCTGAGCATGGAGCCTGACAGGGGCTCAATCTCACAACCCTGAGATCACGTCCTGAGCTGAAACCAAGAGTCAAATGCTCAACCGAGCCACCCAGGTGCCCCCACACATAATGCTGTTTGTAAGCAAGAGAATGGGCATTCTCGTGCAATCTGTTTAAAGCAAGAGCTCGTTCACTGCATGGTAGTGTCTCCCTGAATCTTGAGCCCTCCTTTCAGCTCCTCAGTCAGCTATCCTCCTGGACAAGTCATTTAATATCTTTGGTACTCCTATGTGGATGATGGTGGGAGGAAAGGCTTGAAAAGCTGCACGGTCCCTTATAGCTCTAAAACTTAGTGGTTGAGAATTGGATTGGGCCTAAAAAATAGGGTCAGTCTCTGCTTTCAGTATTATAATACAGAATTAGAGTTGAATTCCTTGAATGAGAAGAAAATAATAGATGACTATAAATATGAACTAATAATAATGCCATTTGTCTGCAATGTACTAAATGCCATCTCTTATAGTAGATGCAGATACCATTTTATACTTAGTATAATCATCAGAATTTTAAAATCCTAATACTTAGAGAAATTAAATGTTTTGCCCAACATCACATGGCTATTATTAAGTGTTAAGAGGTGGCATTTGAATCTAGGTTTGTTTGACTCCAGAGTCCATAGTAATTCAAGGGGTGCCTGGGTGACTCAGTCGGTTAAGCATCTGCCTTCGGCTTGGGTCATGATCCCGGAGTCTCAGGATCAAGCCCTGCACTGGGCTCTCCGCCCAGCAGGGAGTCTGCTTCTCCCTCTGACCCTCCGCCCTCTCGTGCTCTCTCTCTCAAATAAATAAATAAAATCTTTAAAAAATAAAAAACAAAATATTAAGTATTTTAAAGCTTTTTTATGTTGAGATTATTTTAAATTTACAGAGGTGTTACAAAAATAGTAGGAATAGTCCTTGTATTAATTATTTATTGCTGTGTAACATGCTACTCCGAAATGTAGCAGCTTAAAACAATATTATCCCAATGTTAATTCGGGTTTCTGTGAGTCAGAAACCTAAGTGAGGCTTAGCTGGGTGCTTTCAGCTCAGGGTCTCTTACAAGGTTGCAAACAAGGTGTTGCCTGCAGCTGTAGTCCCATATCAAGGCTTGATTGAGAGGGTATGTTTCCAAGCTTGTTCACATGGCTATTGGCCAGAGACATCTTCCCTTCCTTCCATAAGGCAGATGTGCCCTGTCACATAATTGCCTTTACTTTTTGTGGTGAGAACGTTTAAGATCTTCTCTTTTAACAACTTTCAAGCGTATGATATTATTGTTAGCTGTCATTACAATGCTGTGCATAGATCAAATGTAACAGCTAAATGTCCCCCAGAGTGAGCATGTGAGAGAACAAGGATACCCAAGACAAACGTCATAGTCTTTGTAGCCTAACTTTCTAAGTGAATCTCACCACTTCTGCCACTTTCTCTTCAGTAGAAATGAATCACTATTTCCTCAAGAATTAGGGGTCACACAAGGGTGTGAATACCAGGAATCAGAGATCATTGGAGAATATCTTAGAGGTTACCAATATGTCCTTTACCAAAGATTCCTTTATGTTAACATCTTACCATAACACATTTACCAAAACTAAGAAATTATCCTTCATATAAAATTATAACTAAGATATAGACTGATTTGGATTTCACCTGATTTTTCCACAATTGAAACTTTTTTGCTTCAGATCCAACCGAAGATCCCACCACGATTCTACCTTGTGTTTTAGTTGTCATGTCTACTTTATTTCCTCCAGTCTATGGCTGTCCTTGTTTTTTATGACATCAACACTTTGAAGAGAAATGATTAGTTGTTTTGGAGAAAGTTTTTATTTAGTTTTCCCTGATGTCTCAGGAGTATATTGAGGTTATGCATTTTCAATGCATCTCATTAGGGAGCACATTAAGTTGATATGCATTACTGGCGATGTTAACCTTGATCACTTGACTACAGTGGTGTCTACCAAGATTCTCCACAGTACAGTTACTGTTTTTCCTTTGTAAATACTAGATATTTGAGGGAGAAACTGGTAGACTATGTAAACATCCTGTTTCTGCTTAAACTTTGATCACTTATTTTAGCATCCATCACTGGATCTTGCCTGTAGCAATTATTACTATAGTATTCTAATGGAGTTTTTATATTTCTTTCATTCCTATTAAGTGGAATTTTTCTGTAAGCAGGAGCTGTTGTTCCTTCCCCATTTATTTATTCCTTTATTCATGTACATCAGTATGGATACAGGGGCATTTATTTCATTCTTTGGATTATAATCTAATACTCCTCAAATTATTCCAGTTTTAGCTATTGAGAACACTTTCATGTTGGCTCCCATACCCTGCACTAGCCTGCTCTGCTGCCCCATCAACCATTTCTCCCAAGAAACCTTGTTTTCTGTTTCCCTTCCTCCCTTCCCCCTCCCTCGCTTCCTTCTTTTACCTTTCCTTTCCTTTCTTTTTTCTTTCTTGAAAAAAGGATTTATTTTTATTTTTTTCTAGCTTTTTTGAGACATAATTGACATAAAACATTGTGTAAGTTTACTAAGGTTTGTAGTGTGTTGATTTGATAGACTCATGTATTGCAAAATAATTACGACTATAGCATTAGCTAATACCTCTGCCCTGTCACGTAATTGCCTCTACTTTTTGTGGTGAGAGCGTTTAAGATCTTCTCTTTTAGCAACTTTCAAGTGTATGGTATTATTGTTAGCTATCATTACAATGCTGTGCATAGATCCCCAGAACATCTTCATCTTCTGGTTGGAAGTCCATACCCTTTGACCACAATCTCCCCATTTCTCTCACCCTCCAGTCCCTGATAACTACCCTTCTACTTTCTGTTTCCATGAGTTTGGCTGTTTTATATTCCACATATATATCATACAGTTTTTGTCTTTCTCTGTCTAACTTTTTTCATTTAGCATAATGCCCTTAAGGTCCATCTATGTATGTTGTTTCAAATGACAGGATTTCCTTCTAATGGCTGAATAATATAATATTATATATATATGTACATATATATATGAATGGATAATATTATATAGATATAGATATGTATAAATATCACTTCTTTATCCCTTCATATATTGATGGACACTTAGGTTGTTTCCATATCTTGGCTATTATGAATAATGACATGGGAGTGTAGATCTCTCTTCAATATTCTGTTTTCATTTCCTTTGAATATATACCCAGAAGTGAGATTGCTGGCTCATATGGTAGTTCTGTTTTTAAGTTTTTGAAGACTCTCCATACTGTTTTCCATAGTGGCTATATCAATTACATTCCCATCAACCAGTAGTGCACAAGGGTTACCTTCATTCTGTATCCTCAACAACATTTATTTCTTGTCTTTTTTTTTTTTTAAGATTTTATTTATTTATTTGAGAGAGAGAGAGAGCACAAGCTGTGGGGAAGGGCGGAAGGAAAGGGAGAAGCAGACTCCCCATGAAGCAGGGAGCCCTATGCGGGGCTTAATCCCAGGACTCTAGGATCAGGACCTGAGGTAAAGGCAGACACTTAACCGACTGAGCCACCCAGGCTCTCTTGTCTTTTTGGTAATGGCCATTCTAACAGGTGTCAGGTGATATATCTCATGGATTTCATGGAGCTAGAGGTTTGCATTTCCCTGATGATTAGTGATGTTGAGCACCTTTTCATGTACCCGTTGGCCATTTGTATGTCTTCTTTGGAAAAATGTCTGTTCAATTCCTCTGCCCAGTTTTATTTTTTAAGTTTTTATTTGAATTCCAGTTAGTTAACATACAGTGCGATATCAGTTTCAGGTATACAAAATAGTGATTCAGCGCCTCCGTACAACACCTGGTGCTCATCACAATTGCACTTCCCAATTTCCCTAACCTACCCAACCCATTACCTCCACCCACCTGGCAACCATCAGTTCTCTATAGTTAAAAGT